GCCACGGTATCCGGAATTATGCCTCGATTAATTCGTTGGTCGATTCAGTCGTACATCTAGCAGTGGTGGGTGAGTCTCCCAACAAGGGTTTTCTGCATCCACAAAGACTCGAACCCAAGACCTTGCTCAAGCGACATCAAACTACTTACCACTTGAGCCAACTCCTATTGATTCTGATCGAGATTTTAAATGTGGTATTGTGGGATTAAAATTTTAACTTCTAACTATTAACACATAGGTAATGTTCTCACGAGAATATTAATTATTGGATGACATAATTTTTGAAACGTGGTACATACAAAAATACGCGATAAATACTTGTTGCGCAACAAATATTCTTTTAACTTCTAACTATACAATCCAAATTTCTTCTTGCCACAAATAATTTCTTCTAACTATCCTGCCCATCATGATTCATGTTGTGATGATTTTCTCTTAGACATTTTATTGTGAGTTATCGTTTACTTCGTTTTTTGAGTTTAGCAAAACAATAAATTGTGACGGTTAAAATCACAATCAGATTTGTGTCATATCTAAGATGTATGATCTGATAAAGACATCGTAAATAGTATACATTAGTAAGATCAACTATTTTCAAAAGTACCATGATCTCGTGTATGATCAAACCGTTAAAATCTCATGAGAACACACGGATAAGATAACCCCTACTAAGAATACTATGAACTAAGTCTCAAATTCGAATTGTGGTTGTGCTCTAAGACTATTCTCACGCGAGTGAGGAGTGGAACATAAGGCTGCCCATTGTGCTTATGTTTGGCGATTATCGATTATCGGTCTTTGTACTTCAGTAATATATAAATTTACATTACCGATAGAAAAAAAAAAAGTCTCAAATTCAAATTAAAAAAAAAAACCAACAAACTTTTCTCAGTCAAAGAAAAACGCGACTTAATTTCAAACTGTAAGATAAAATATGGAAGCAACCGCACCCAACCTTTTTCCTACTGATATGGTCCGAGATCGGTGGCTCCGGTCTAGCGGAAGGTTCTTCCCGGTTATGGCGTGATTCGCTTGATTCGGTCCGGCCCAAGCTTGTGTGCTCTCCGATACCTGAAAGTGCGCCGGAATTCCTCCGGCGCAAACCCTCCGACGCCCAAGTTAGGATCTCGGATTTTTTAGAGAGAATTGTCTGTAATAAATGTTGTAGTAATGGTATTAATGAAGTCTTACCCACTTTTGTTGTGATTTAACCTTTATATAGTGTCCTCTTCCGATTTAGGTGGTTCTCGAATGTTCGTTGACCGGTCATAGTTTAATTACTGCTCGGTCTTATTATGGGCCCTCGACCCTTATGGTGACTCGGCCAGCGGGTCGAGCTCTTAGACCTTCACTTTATTAGATCCAACTCGAGAGTCGGGTCACTCGACCCCTTTGACCGGTCGAGCCCCTCGACCTTTAGCTCTACCCATGCGGTCCAAGTCGAGAGTTGACCCTTCGGCCCTTCGACCTCTCGGACCCTTCGACTCTTCAACCCTTTGCCCGCTCGACCCCTCGACCTATCGGTCCCTTCGACCCCTCGACCCTTTGGCCGCTCGACCGCACGGCCGATTGGTTTTTTGGCTTACTCGGCCTGATATTATGGGTCCTTCCTAGACCGGATCGGATCGGTACCATAATCCCTATCACCTACCAACACGTTCTTCTTTAGCTTAGCTAACATAAAACAATTTTATCATCATCATTATTATACGAGCAAAATGCAAAAAAAGATTAACATATGGTCCGACATTAATACCACATTAAAAATAAGCCCAACACTCTCACCAGACACCGCCATTAATGAAACAAAATTCACATCCCACGAGAAGCCATATAATCCTACCGACCCCATTTCTATGTTCTCTGGATTTTGCTGTTTCTAGCTAATTAAAAAAGTAATCTTTTGTTTTTTGTTTTCCATCTGGCCTCCATGGATTGCTTCGAAGAAATTCTTGAAACGCCGGCGATTGCCTACGAGCTCCTATTCAAGTCGGTTGCTGCGATACCCTTGTCCCATTATTTGGTGGGGACGATCCTGTTTCTCGTTGTGTTTTGGTACAATTTTCTGGAGTTTCATTTTTTTCAGGATCTTTTTACTGGCTTTCGTGGTGGTCCCGTGTTGCTGACGTACAACCCCAGCTCCGAGATTTACCATGGGGTTGTGGCCAAGTGTAGGGCGCTCCATGGGAGGTTAGCTCCTGCCAACAAAAACCCAAAAAAAAAAACAAAATTCATTTCTGATTTTTTGTTTTTTTTTTTCCTTTTTGTTTTTGAGTATGTAATTAGAATCTAGGTGTGTAAAAATGTCATCTTGATGGGTTTTGAGTTGAAAAACATCATAAAAGGTGAAATTAAAAGTGTTGTGTTTCACTGTGCTGCTGAAATCTTTTATATCTCACTCTGGGGAAAATTTGTATTCATCAAGAAACTGGTTGTATTGGTGGAATTGTTGTAATTTTCCTTTATGTTCTTGCTTGCGTATGGTTGCTTATGGTTACCTGAAACAGCTTCATCATGCTTTTATTATTATTATTTTTGGTTTTTGAAATAACAGGTTTATTCAGGTAACATTTTGCTAACATGTTCTGTCTGTTTTTGATCTGATATTGAGACCAAACAGGTACCTGGCTACTCCCTGGCTCTCGAGCCCACATATCCAAACTTCATTTGTAAACTTCTTGGGGAGGCCACCCGTGTTTGCCTACAGAAGGTCAGCTTTTCATTTATTTGTATTTCTTTTCTTTTATTTTTGAGAAAAAAAAAATTATGTTTTCCAGTCATAAGTGTTACTCGCATCTGTATCGGTACTGTATAAGGTTATATGTCGCCACTGAGTTCTTTTGTAGATATATAAGTCAAGTACAGAGTGTTCCGGAATTTTGAGTTAGCGTATTCGCTGTACATGACTTTGTGGGTAGATGCATAATTGGTAATTTTATGTCTTGATGTGTCTTTCTGGTTATCAGGCAGATGTTTCATGCACCTGATGGTGGGACGTTTGCTCTGGATTGGCTATTGCATTCTGATGGTAATAATTGTTCCGAAAGTACTTTCTTGTAGGCTGAAGCATTTAGCAAACTACACGGGACAGCGGAATGCATTTATAGTTACCAATATAAATTTCATATGTAGGTTTTTGCAACATCCATGACTTCGTTACCTGCTTGTTAGGTTTCTGTGGTAAATTACTCTGTTGTGTGTTCTCTGTTAAATTATCTATCAAGAACAGCCGTGCGTCTCAAATCCATTATATTTGTGAATTCCTCACTTCTAATTTTACATTATGGATCAGACATTCAAAGTATCAACATTTATCTTACACGGGACTTCCTTCCTTTTTTTTTTTTTTTCTTATGAGACAAATGAGCAAAAGTTACCACAACACAAAGTTATATGATTGATAATAATGGAAGACAAACCGTTACTTCTTTATGCATGTGGTTTGTTGGGACAGGGAGCATCTCATATGTAGCTTTACCAGAATCCAGCTTACCTCATTTAAGTTCATATTTTTTCGTTTGATATACTATATGGTTTTGGCTTTTGAATATCCTTTTGGATTGAAAATTTCATTCTTCTGTCTCCAAATTAAATTTTGTGAACTGATTTTTTAACCGTTTCTTTCTTTATCTGCAGTTGTGCATGGAGTAGCTTCTACAAATAATAATGCGATCGCCAAGGATGATAAAACTCCTATTGTGGTTATGATCCCGGGTCTAACAAGTGATTCAGCTTCTCCTGTAAGAATATATGTTTTTTGCTACCTTTTTTTGCATGAATGTGTTCTGGTGATCACATATATGTTCTTTGATTCTATGGGTATAATTTTCTTATGAATAACATATGTTCTTTTATTGGAGCTTTACCTGCCCATGGGCATTATTCTCCATTACTTGTCTATGTATCATGAATTGGGAATGCTTTTAGTTATCTGTAGTTGGAAATAGCCAAATAGGTGCACAGTAGAAAGACTGAAATCCTTAAGATTCGGTATAATTTACATGTGGTGATATTTGACCACAGAAACTTGTATCAGCTTTCTTTGTAATGGTATGTAACTTGTTAATTTTATTTCATCTTCTCTTTTATTTTATTTATTTATTTATTTGGCTCGGTCTGCAGTATATGAAACACCTTGTCTTTGATACTGCAAAAAATGGATGGAATGTGGTGGTCAGCAATCACCGGGGTCTTGGTGGTGTCTCAGTTACCGTAAGTACAAAAGTTCTTGAACACTTAAATGCAAAATATATAAAAACAAACTTTGTTTCGAACTTTCTTAATTTAATTTTGTTTCATTTCCTGTTCCCCTACAAAACTCTTGGGAAATCGTATTTTTCGTCGATATATATATAGTTATCGTGAAAATTACGAAAATTTTGCAGTCCGATTGCTTCTACAATGCCGGATGGACCGAAGATGCACGCCGAGTGATTAACCACCTACATCATGAGTATTCAGAAGCTCCTTTGTTTGTTGTGGGAACTAGTATTGGTGCTAACATTTTGGTAATTTTTTTTTATCCTTTTCCCAAATAAAGAAACGTAAGGTTGATAAAAGGTATACTTCTTTAAATTTGTTAATGCTTAGGTAAAATATCTTGGAGAAGACGGGGAGAATGTCCCGATTGCAGGTGCCGCTGCAGTTTGCTCTCCTTGGGATCTTTTGGTCAGTTTAACATGTTCTTTTATTGGTTTTGAGATTTCTTCGATGTTATTTGAATTTTATCTGGGTCAACATTTTATTTTTCTCCCTTTTAATTTTTTGTTTTTTTGGTCTCTTATTTCCACAATCCAGATTGGTTCTAGGTTCATATCTCGAAGGCTTATCCAAAAGTTATATGATAGAGCTCTTACTATTGGTCTTCAAGGTTATGCACAGCTGTATGTTGCATTTGCCTTCTTAACATTGTTTATCCTTTCTTTGATTTGAGTGAAATTCAGGGGAAATTAGCTTTAGGCTTTCAAAAGCCTTTAGGATTGCTTGGGCTGAATGATACTTAATGCTATTTGAAACATGGATGGTCAATAAGCACTTTTTTTTTTTAATTTTGTTTTCTTTTGGACGTCTATGAAAAAAAAAAATCGATCATTTTAACTTCACTTGATTCTTCAATGCAGCCATGAAACCCGCTATTCTCGACTTGCTAACTGGGAAGGCATTAAAAAGGTTGGACTTTTATATTCTCGATTATGTTGATCAAAGGGAAAGTAATAGCTAGATTGCTATTACCTTTTACCATGCTTAGTTTTTTTTTCATTCGCAT